ACATTCATGTTATTATGTAACCACCATGTCTATCTAGGTCCTAACATTTTCAAAACCCCCAAAGACAACCTCATACCTGTTAAGTATTCCCTACTTCCCTCTTCCACCAGCCCCTGGCAATAACCATTCTGCTCTCTGTCTCTGTGGATTTACCTATCATGGCTATTTAATATAAATGGAATCATAAAATGTGTGAGCCTTGTGTCTTTTTTTTTTCACTTAACATATTGTTTTTGAGGCTCACCCTCATTGTAGCATGTATCTGTATTTCATTACCTTTTATGGCTGAGTAATGTTCCACTGCATGGATATGCTACATTTTGTTTATCCATTCAAAGAGGTGATTTTTTTTAAGTTTGCTAATTAATTTTTTGTTGTAGTGAAATAAATATAACATCAAATTTACCATTTTAGCTATTTTTTGAAAAGGGTTTATTTTGTAGAGACTCAAACAGAGCATGCAGAGATGCAGAGAGAGAGAGAGAAAGAGAGAGGGAGACAGAATCTGAAGCAGGCTCCAGGCTCTGAGCTGTCAGCACAGAGCCCATCGTGGGGCTTGAACTCATGAACTGTGAGATCACGACCTGAGCTGAAGTCTGATGCTTAACCAACTGAGCCACCCAGGTGTCCCACCAGTTTAACTATTTTTAATTATACAGTTCAGTAGCATTAAGTAAGGGGTGCCTGGCTGGCTCAGTAGGTAGAACATGTGACTCTTGATCTGGGGGTCGTGAGTTCAAGCCACACATTGGGTGTAGAGATTAATTAAGTAAAGTAATTAATACTTTTGTTAATTAATTAAGTAAGGATATTCCCATTGTTGTGCAACTATCTCCATGAGAGGGGTATTTTTAATTTTGCAGTTTTCTTAAACCCTTCTATAGAAAAGCATTTTCTATTTATAACACTTCTGATGCCAAATATGTAGGGGTTTTTCTCCAGTACCAATTAATTTTCCAACTCCCTGGGCACCCTATAACAGTGGAAATCCTAAAATTTATCAATTCTGACACCAATCTGAAGTTAGCGTCAGACTCCTCAGGTTTAAGGTCTCAGTTCCCTTAGTTCCCACTTTAGATGCCAGTTACAAACATGACTCTGTCCAACATGGTAACAAAGCCCCATAATGCCCCCACCTCAGTGTCAATAATTTGCTAGAATAGGTCACGAAACTCTGGGAAACATTTACTTTGTTCGCTGGTTTATTATAAAGGATACAAATGAACAGTCAGATAAGGAGGTCGGGAAGGGTCCTGAGCTTTGTTCCCATGGAGTTGGGTCCACTGGCCTCCTGGCATGTGGATATATGTTCACTGTCCCAGAAGCTCTGTGAGCTTGATAGTTTAGGAATTTTTAAGCCTGCTTCAACATATAGGCATGATTTATTATTACTTATAACTCTGGTCTCTGACTTCTTCCCAGAGGACAAGAGGTGAGGTTAGGAGTTCCAGGCTTCTAAGCAAGGCTTGGTGTTTCTGGGAGTCAGTCCCCATCCTGAAACTATCTAGGAAATTCCAAAGGATTTAAGAGCTCAGGAATTGGGGGGGGGCAGAGACCATATGCATATTTCTTATTATGTCACATGTCTACTCACACATCAGACCGCCCCTAGATCAAGAACTCCGTCATGATGAGCTATGACAATGTAAAATGTGGTTTACTTTGATTTTTCAGACAGTTCTGTTTTCTCTCTCTTTTGAATCTCAGTTTCTATCCTATGGATATCATTTTTCAATGGGGAGCCTTCTGAGAATTCTCACTTCCTTCTCCATAACTTTGACCCATGCAGACGAAGGGTCTACTAGACCAAGCACCCTCCAGCAAGACCCAGTTCTGGTCTCCGCTCTCTCTACATATTCTGACTCATTGCCATTTCCACTCCTCTCAAGACAGCATTGAATAGCTCATGTCTCCTGGGTCTCCAGAATCTTTGACCCCAGGATCTTTTCCCTCCCATATGGAGACATCACCCTCCACCTGCTCCCTGGCCCCCCTTCCCCACATCACTGAATGTGTATTTGCAGCAGGAGGAAATGATGGGGTGCCTTCTGGCAGAGACACAGAGGGAAAGCTGCTCCCTCAGGAAGAAATAAGTGACAGCTCTGCAGTTTTCATGTGGCTGTTTTTCTTAGGAGGGAGGAGGTATGCAGCTGGAGAGAGAGAGATTGGAAGGAAGGGAAAGACAGAGAGGGCAGGACCCAGGCTTCTTGCCAACCTGAGGAGGAGGGGAGCAGCACACAGCTTTGCTCCAAGTAACAGGAACAGCAGCTGCAAAACAATTCCTGGAAATTTGCTCTTTCTCCTCCCTACACCTCCCCAACTTTTTTTTTCCAAAAAATGTAGACAAGATATTGTGATCAACAATCAGAAAGGAAGGAAGGTATCAGGGAGGAGTTATTGAAGGCACAGATAAAAGCAGGCAGCTTCCCAGGGTCAGGTGGGGGCCAAGGGCTTGTGCCTGGACCCTGGAAGGAGGGGTGAGCAGGCTGTCCCAGGAATCCCCCTGCCTGTCTGGCCTGTGTGGCTCAGGACCTTACTTTGTGTGTTGAGGGCAGATGGACTATGGACTGGGTTAGGCTGAGGAGTTTGGCAACGACTGTCCTTCCACTCCCAGCTTCGCTTCCAGCGGGTCATTGAGTACAGAAGCCAAGTCCAGCCACAGAAGTCATTTTGCCCTCCTGCCACAGCTTTCCCATGCCAGGGAGGCAGCCTTATCTGCCCAACAGCACCAGATTAGGAACTCCCCAGGTGCCCCAAAGAGGGATGTGGTCCAGCGACTCTGTCCTTGGCTCTGCTCAGCTCTTTCCTGCTTATTGGCTCTTCACTGAGGCACAGTGGAGATAACACTACTTCAGGGACCAGACCTGACTTTGACACCATGTTCTATCACTTAGGAGCTGTGTGACTGCACAAGTCACTTGACCTTCCTGAGTCTCAGTTTCTTTATATGTAAAGTGAGGTTACTGATGCTTCCTTCTGGGGTTATTGTATGGGACCTATGAGATATGTAAAGTGCTTGGCATAAGCATGTTCCTTTTCCACCGTTTGGGGATGAGGAAGGAGCAATCCCTTCTTGTGGAATTACCTTGAGATACCTCTTCCTAGTCCCATCACTATGAGCCATTTTTCTCTCAGTTGGATCGACGGCAGCTTCCTCTTTCATTTAGTTGTCTGGTGTTCTGTTTCTTACATGGAAGGTCAAGAATATTCCCAGTGCCACTATGAATTATTGCAAAGAAATGTAGTAACAGTTAGCATTTATTGAATACTCACCATTCGTCAGGTATGATTACAAGGTTCTTGCCATGTACTGTTATCCTCATTAAATTGTTTTACACTGTCATAGGCAAGACTTCTATCGTGTTGTGAGGCACAGAGAAAGTCACACCACTAGGACTTCAGTAAATCCTTATTATAGGATTTCTTGACCTAGATTCCTGGCACTTAATGGCTTCAGGTGGTCTGTGAACTCCCTGAAAACCATACTCAAAATCCTATATATTGTGTTAAGTCATTTTTATGGGGCTTAGAGTCTTCCTTACATTCTCAAAAGGGTCCACAATGTCCAAGAGGTTAAAAAATGACTGCTCTTGAAGCACTTCTCATGGATGGGGGTAGGAAAAAAAAAGTAGGGTGCAGCATATACTTCTGTGGAGGGGACTCAGCCTTTGGAATTCTGGGAAATTTCTTGAGTGAAAGCAAAGTCTCCTTCATGGAGGCTGAGAGAAGCATGGGATGACCTGGGGAGAGGTTGAAAAAGGGGAGGTGAATGGTCTTTGCTTTCACAAGATGAAGGACAATTGTTTCCTCCCTATGATTTCCCAAGAGAATGCATGTGCAGGTGTGCAAGGTTAGTGCAAGCAAGAGGAGGCTCTGAGGGACTGACAGACACTGGAAGGCCCCCAGAGAAACTGGCATGACCCAGCAGCCTCCCAGCATGCCTCCACTCTTCCCCACCCTGCAATTTCCTATCCATCTCCTGGCCTTTGTCACTCCCTCAGGATCCGCCCCCTCCCTCCACTTCCTGATCCCTGGTACCTCCCCCAAGATCCCTGTAGATGTGCTGACTCTCCTACTTTGGGGTGAAGGTGGCTATGATCGAGCCTGGTTTCTTCAACATGGAAGTAACCAACTCTGAGAAGATTTCTGGGGCCATCCAGGAAGCATGGGATCAGGCCAGCCCAGAGGCCAAGGAGATCTATGGGGAGAAGTTCCTGGAATCTAGTGAGTGAGCTGTGGACTGAGGGGAGGGAAACAAACCTTTGTGTGGCAGCCTGGGCCCATCACTAGTGCCTCCTACAGACTGGGCTGGACCTCCAGGCTCTGACTCAGCCCACACAGTGGGGATATTGAACTCCATCCCCGTGGTCCCATGGGGTCACCTGGTCACCTCAGGAAGAGCCAGGCTTGTTAGACCTAGGGGCCACAGTTTCCTCTGGTGCCCTCATTATTTGTGGAGGAAACTGAAGCCAGAGAGGGAAGACATGCATGGACTCCTGACAAGCTGGCATTAGAACAGCTGGTTTTCAGGTGCTTAGATTTCTGGTGTTTGTAGAGACCTCAGTTTCTGCTCTATTCTCAGGAATAGAGGCAGAGGGGGCTTAGTGTGGAGACTGTTCCTGTGGGAAGAGTCGGACACACTCCGATGACATCCATGCATCAAATCCTCACCGTGAAGGCACGGTTGTGTCTGCGTTTTTGCGTTCCCACTCCAGATAGTGGAAGCTGCATACCTGTAGGCCTGGAAACAAGTTGCACAATTAGTACTTACTCCCTGTCCTTCCCAGCTCCCTTTTCCATCACCTATGGCTCCCCTCTTCAGAAGAGCCACACTGGGTGGAGAAGAAGGAATGGTGGCGGGCGGGGGACACGCGCACGGGAAGGCGGTCCTGCTGAGCTTCGGCAGGGCACCACCAGGGGGCGCGCGCCTCCGCTCCAGCGCGCTCTTGGCTTCCAGGTGCTGTGGGGGGAGTCTGGAGGAGTTGCCCTTCCTCAGGGGCGTGCGTGGGGATCTCAGCGTCGCGACGTCCTGTGCAGGATCTCAGCGCAGAGATTCGCAGCAGCGAGTTTGCATCCCCCTGGCGCCTCTGCAGAGTTTCTCTTTCTGGGCCCCACAGCTCCCAAGTAAGTGAGTGGCACCCCAGCCTCTTTCTCTCTTACTATCCTCTGCACTTTCTGTGATTTCAGAGAAATGAACTCTGGTGCTCCTGGCACCCCTGGCAGGTGGTCACGTTGTTCTGAGGATTTACAAGAGTGAAGCGGCAGGCGCTTAGGGCTTGGAGATGGGCCTGCTGCATGGCCCCTTGAAAGTTGGTGGTGAAGGGATTTGTGGTTCCTTGCAGGTAAAGAACATGGCCTTATCCCTTAGTGGAGTTTGGATGTATGTGTCTCTTTGGGTCCCTGAGAGTTTCCAGGGCTCCTTCCTCCTCTTGCCTTCTTCTCCCCCACCCTTAAGGAAGCCCTTGTAGGAGGGTCCTGGCAGTGACCCCCAGGAAGCAGAAACAGGTGAGGCTCGGCAGGACCAGGCCTTGCCAGGCTGCCAGCACGTCCCGCCTTAAGAGATGAACGCTTTCAGGACTACAGTCACTTCTCTGCACATAACAGTTTCAACTAAAGGCTTCATCTGTACCCCTCTCTGTCCTTTTCACCTGCTGGGGGAGAGCCGGGGACAATTGAGCCTATGGTTCCCATGGGGAAACCTCTCTTCCCCCTTTCCAGTGACTCTCCCTTTCCTTACCAGTCAGAGCTGTGTAAATGTGGATCATGCCCAGAGCAGTCACACTGGCTTCTGCTTCTGTCCCATCGCCAGCTCTGTCCACTCTCCTTTTATGGTATGGCACCATCCGCCTCACCCTGAAGCCCCTCCATGGACATCTGTTCCGTCCAGTCTCCAGTCCCATCTTTAGTCTGCTGAGGGGGTGGCTCCCGCCTCCTCCCCACCATCATCGGGATACAACTGAACGGACACCCTTTGCAGTTATGGGGCCCACAGCCCTCCCTGCTTGAGTGAGGTTTTAGGTCCCATGCGAGCCAGTGTTTTCTGCCTTGGGAGTCTGTGTCTGAGATTCTGGATGTGGGAGGGGCAGAGGGCAAGGCGAGCAAGCACCCAGGGCCCGCTGATAGAGTAGCAGCTGTGAGCCCCGCTTTGCTGAAGTGCTTCCTTTCCACCCTCCCAGCAGCTGGGAGCAGTCTCTCCCTCTCTTGCACATGCCCACCTTCATTCCCTTCTCCCCCGTCTTCGCCTCTGAGGTCAGACACCCTCTGAGGCTCCTGAACACGTTTCTGCCCCAGAGAACTACTGTATCTGGAGGGGATCTGTTCCTTAAACATTTTGCCTTCTCCAATCTCAGTGAGAGTGGCAGTGACTTAGTCTTCTCAGAAATGAATTCTGAATCCTTATCTGGCTCAGATAAGGAAACCCTGGCTCAGAGGGTAAGCTGGCAGCCCAGGGTCACACAGCTATCTGGTAGCAGAGCTGGGTGTTGAAACCACATGTGTCTTGAGTCAAAACGTATCTATCTTCTTTATAAGAATCTCCAGTAGGTCAGGGAGACAGAGTTCCAGGCTTGAACAAAGTAAGAAGATAGTTCTGAACTATGAGACTTAAGACACAAGGGACTCCAGTGTGTGTGTGTGTGTGTGTGTGTGTGTGTGTGTAGGAGTGGAAGGACCAGGAGAAGGTGACTGAGAAAAATATCCTGATGTCGAAGGGTTCTTTGTGAAATCTGCATCTAGTAGAAACAGCATGAGTGTACCAAAGAGATACAAGTTGGGGCCAGAAATCAATAGTACTCACTAAAGGTAGTGACCAGGAACAACTTCAGGACTCCATGTTAGACAGCCTGGAGGCTAACACTCTTGTTTCATTTCAGCCTGTGTGTTCCCTGCAGAGCCATGTGGCTGTACCTGGCGGCCCTCGTGGGCCTGTACTACCTCTTGCGCTGGTACCGGGAGAGGCAGGTGGTGAGCAACCTCCAAGACAAGTACGTCTTCATTACGGGCTGTGACTCGGGCTTCGGGAACCTGCTGGCCAGTCAGCTGGACCTGCGAGGCTTGAGGGTGCTGGCCGCGTGCCTGACTGAGAAGGGGGCCGAGCAGCTGAGAGACCAGACGTCAGACAGGCTGGAGACGGTAATCCTGGACGTCACCAAGACAGAGAGCATCTCTGCGGCCACTCAGTGGGTGAAGGAGCGTGTGGGGGACAGAGGTACTGCACAGAGTCCTGTTTGTGTCTCTTTGTTGCTTCTCTCTGTGCAAGGGAAACTTCTCTTCTGCTAACTGGGAAGTTTCTCAGGATATTTTGATCTTTGAAGCCTCGAGCTTTGGAGTTTCCTGAGGAGAAGGCCTGTAGTGCCCGAATCTGAGCCCAGGGTTAAATGAGCCCAGCCTGAGTTTAGGGCCAGTAGTCTGGAGGAGTTGTTGGGCCCTGGGGGCTTGCTCTGGGGCCGCGTGGGGCTGGGCCAGGCTAGATCCAGGCTCCTGATCTCAGCAGGTACACATTTTCTTCCCACCAGGCCCTCTGCAGGGCTTTAAGATCAGCCCCACTTAACTTATGAGGACGCTGAGGCTTATGAGGGAGCTGAAGGGACTTTTGGTCAAATATGGGTGAGGGGTCCTGTTCTTTCCCCTCTATTATGCTGCCTGCCCTTTTCGGGAAAGAAGACACCATTGATGTTTTTGTTTTTGTGATTAAAAATGTAAAACGTGCTCATTGTATACAACATAGAAGAGGATAAAGATAAAAGGACATTTTCCAAATGTCAGTTTCCAGAATCTGTTACATAGTTATGTATCCTATGATCAGCATTTTCATTGTCAAATCTTTTTTTTTCTTTTTTAAAGATATTTTTTTAATGATTTTTTTTTTGAGAAAGAGCGAGCATGCAAAAGTGGGGGAGGGACAGAGAGAGAGAGAGAGAGAGAGAGAGAGAATCCCAAGCAGGCTCCAGCTGTGAGCACAGGGCCCGATGCAGGGCTCAATCTCACAAGTCACGAGATCATGACATCAGCTGAAATCAAGAGTCAGAGGCTTACCCGCTTACCCGACTCAGCCACCCAGGTGCCCCGGGCATACTCTTTTTTTTTTTTTTTTTAATATTTTTTATTTATTTCTAGGAGAGAGAGAGAGAGAGAGAGAGAGCAGGGGAGGGTCAGAGAGAGAGGGAGTCACAGACTGAAACAAGCTCCAGGCTCTGAGCTGGCAGTCAGCACAGAGCCCGACGCGGGGCTCGAACCCACGAACCGCGAGATCATGACCCAAGCGAAAGTCGGACGCTTAACCGACTAAGCCACCCAGGCGCCCCACTCGGCATACTCTTGACAAAGATGCACTTATGGCCTCCTGTAAGCCAGGCCTTGAGGAGCAGCAAGATGAGAAGGAACATCCCTGCGGTCCAATAGCTCAGCGCGCATGCAAACTCTGATGCCCTGCAGCCACTGCATTCCTACTTCCTCTCTTGCACTCGTTTCCTTTATGGGTGTAGATGTTGTTGATGTGGTAAAAAAGTGGATTGGAAGGTGACTTGGAACCACAGTTGTTTCTTACTTAGGCACACAATGTTGCTCTCTCCCCACCCCATAACCAGGACTCTGGGGCCTGGTGAATAATGCTGGCATCTCCATTCCCTTCGCACCCAATGAGTGGCTGACCAAGCAGGACTTCATGAAGATACTGGACGTGAACCTATTGGGGTTGATAGAGGTGACCCTGAGCCTGCTGCCTCTAGTGAGGAAGGCGAGGGGCCGCGTGGTCAACATCTCCAGCATCATGGGCCGGGTGTCCCTTCTGAGTGGAGGCTACTGCATCTCCAAGTATGGCGTTGAGGCTTTCTCGGACTCCCTCAGGTATTGGACTGGGACAGAGGCCATCCTTCAGTCTTCCTGCCTCTGTGTTTCTGGGGGAGATTTTCCAGGGGGATCATTTGCTCACAGTCTTAGAGGCTCTTCCTTCCAGATGCCTCTCTCTTGCTTTGTGCCAGGAATTCATTGGGAAACACCTTCCCATGTCCTGGGCATTGGGATGGGCCCCAGGCCTACAGAGTTGGTTTCACCTATGGTTGCCCTGGGGGAGGGCCCATGGTTGGGAAATGTCTGAGGCAGAATTGGACCTGAGATCACTTGGCTACAGAGCTCATGTCCATGATTCCTATAATATTCAGCTTCAGGGGGCCCTCGACATGGAGGTCCAAGATTTGACTCAGTTCAACAGATACTCACTTCTGTGAGTGCACAACAAATGTGTCTGAGGACAACTGAGCTAAAATGTCTGACAGCTGAGAAAAGGACAAGACAGACACAAATGGCGTGACCATCAATCAGGATGGTCGTGACTAACTTAGCTAGCTATGGTGGTGGTGGCGGCCAGTGGAACAACGGGAGAGTCCTGGAGAAGGGCCTGAGCTGAGGATTGAAGAAGTAAACTTGGAAACCTGGCAAAGTAGGGTCAGAAGGCCTCCAATATGAGGGAACAACTCGAGCCCAAGCCCAGGGTGAGTAATGGCTGACTGACTATGCTATGGGGTCCTCTAGGCTAGTGAACAAGGCCTGGTCAGGCAGGGGATGCTGGGCAGGTGGGCCTGGGTGGTCTCATGGAGGCAGGGGGGCTCCGGACAGGCTGCAAACCTTCATGCTGTTGGCAGCAGGACCCCGTGGAAGGGATTTACTCAGGGGAGCAATTTGATCAAATCAGCCTCTGGAGAACCCACTGGCTACAGGGCAGAGGTTGGCTCTGGGTGTTGGGGAGCTGAGATGTAGGCAGAGGTGTTCCTTAGAGGACAGAAGGCAGAATAGGGAGCGGGGTGCAGAAGGTAGAATGGGCAAAGTCTGGAGATGGATTGGATGTGAAGGGAAATAGGAGGAGATGGCATGAAAGTGGTGCTTTCGCAGCAGAAGAGGTAGAATGTGAGCTAGCCAGCACGCGTATGGACAATCCTGGGAAACATGTGCACACCTGATGCAGAGACTATACATCATCATTATTTTCTCCACCTGGATGCTGTCCTTAGAATCTGTCTGAGCTTTTGAGTTTATCCCAAGTTAGGTGTATATAGGGTTTGCTTGTTTGTTTGTTGTGTTTGCCCCCAAGGTTTCTGAAGTCCTTGCCCCTCTTCCTGTCTGCCTTGCAGGAGGGAGCTCTGCTACTTTGGGGTGAAGGTGGCTATGATCGAGCCTGGTTTCTTCAACACGGAAGTAACCAACTCTGAGAAGATTTCTGGGGCCATCCAGGAAGCATGGGATCAGGCCAGCCCAGAGGCCAAGGAGGTCTATGGGGAGAAGTTCCTAGAATCTAGTGAGTGAGCTGTGGACTGAGGGGAGGGAAACAAACCTTTGTGTGGCAGCCTGGGCCCATCACTAGTGTCTCCTACAGACTGGGCTGGACCTCCAGGCTCTGACTCAGCCCACTCAGTGGGGATATTGAACTCCATCCCCGTGGTCCCATGGGGTCACCTGGTCACCTCAGGAAGAGCCAGGCTTGTTAGACCTAGGGGCCACAGTTTCCTCTGGTGCCCTCATTATTTGTGGAGGAAACTGAAGCCAGAGAGGGAAGACATGCATGGACTCCTGACAAGCTGGCATTAGAACAGCTGGTTTTCAGGTGCTTAGATTTCTGGTGTTTGTAGAGACCTCAGTTTCTGCTCTATTCCCAGGAATAGAGGCAGAGGGGGCTTAGTGTGGAGACTGTTCCTGTAGCAGGAGTTGGGACACACTCCAATGAAATCCATGGATTCAACCTAGAGATGACTGGGGAAAGGTGGGATGCTTGTAGAAGTTTTTCTCCCAAGTTGATCCCAAAGCAAGAAGATTAGAACATGAGAATATGTCATTCCCTTTGGACAGTCAAGAAATCGGTGGAAAAATTGAAGTCAAGATGTTGCAACAACCTGTACTTGGTGACGAACTGCATGGAACATGCCCTAACAGCCTGCCACCCCCGCACTCGATACTCATGTGGCTGGGACGCCAAGCTCCTCTACCTCCCCATGAGTTACATGCCCACCTTGATAGTGGATGCCATAATCTACTGGATATCTGAAAGACCTACCAAAGCTCTGTAACCCAAGACTTGAGTGCATGGTAGGAGGGAGTTGGGTACTTTGTGAGGGCTGGGATGCCTCAGAGGGAGGGAAATAGAGTGGAGAGAGAGGGCTCTTGTGTCACCAGGGACACCTGTCTCAACTCCCTCCCCACCTCCTCCCCAGACTTCCCTGGATGTTACTCAGCGCTCTGGGGATTTTAGGAGGAAAGTCACAAGTTTTGTGACTGAGGAACAGGGACCCAGTAGCACACACCCACGCCCTGTTCCTTGAATGGCTTTTCAAGGCTCTGAGTCTTTTGGCCCTTCTGTCTCTTGAGGAATCCACTCTTGGCAGGATGTCAGCAGCAGGGAGGGGCTCAGCCTCCACCTGCTCTGCCTCTGTCCCCGTACTCAGGGTGTGCCTTGGTTCTGTCCAGTGTCCCCCTCCCACAGGATGGACATGGCCCAGGGGGAGTTAATGCTCCTTTCCACTGAAGATACCTGTGACAGGGATGAAGATGTTGATGGCAACCACTGGCCTGACTCATCAACCTGCGGTGCCAATTCACAGACCCTGGCTGAAAGGACATGTCTGTAATTTGGATCATGACAGAGGACTCAGAAACAAACCAGCTGTTGAGTTGTCTTGAAACCTTGATATCTATTGATTATTTCTGCCTTAAAATAAAAATTGATAAGTTTATCTGGGTCCAGTGATTGGAACTGTGGCCTTGGGGAGTGGTGGGATATGAATCCACAAGAGAAGGAGTCAGGTGCCTTCATGGAGATCATGGGGGTGGATTTTAAGAGGGGAATTAGATCACCTTTCTTTCCATAGAAGTGGGGGGCTAATGTTTCTTTTCCAAAATTTATCTTTTTTTTTTAAGTTTATTTATTTTGAGAGACCGAGAGAGCAAAGGAAAGGCAAAGAGAGAGGGAGAGAGAGAATCCCAGCAGGCTCTGTGCTGTCAGCACAGAGCCCAGTGTGGGACTCAGATCCACAAACTATGAGATCATGACCTGAGCCGAAGCCAAGAGTAGGACGCCCAGCTGACTGAGCCACCCAGACGCCCCTCTTTTCCAGGATTTATCAAATTACATGGTATCACAGGAAGACCCAAGGATGGATAGACAAGGAGAAGTTGCTGAGACACTGGCAGGCTCCAGTCCCTTTCCTGGGGACATCAGCCTGTCCCCTCCTTTAGAATTACACCCCCATCTGCAGCCATCCCCAGGTTCCCCAGCCCAGATCCCCTTTCTCACATCCTACAGTGGAGGACTGTAAGAGTCACTTCTGGACCCCAGTCTTTTGTTTTCTGCTAACCTTTGTTGAGCCCCTACTGTATACTGGACAGGAGTTCCCTTAATTACCCAGCACTTCCTGAAATTGCAACTCTCTACATTTCCACCATTCTGATGATGTTCTGAGTGTAGACTGAACAGAAAAAGCATTTGTACAAAGTGATGTAGATTCCTGGGCTGAGGATAAATTGGTGCTTGGAGCTGCCTCTTCAGGTGTCTTAATTTTCTTCCTTCAGTTTCAGACTGAGGCTATGGAGACTTTAGGGGGACCTGATACTGTAGAATGTCAGTGTTCTTGGTGAAAACAGAAAGCAAGGTCAGATGTTGCAGTGTCATTCATGCTCACCCTGTAGTAGGGGCTGGAAATGGCCTGGAGGAGCTGAAGGCCCCTCTCTGCTGAAGATACTAGTGAACAGAGGTGTGTGTGGAGTTCAACCACCAGCCTGACCTGTCAGCCTCAGCTGGCCACTCAGCAGGAAGATCTGTTATCTGAGAGTGGGGCATTTCTAGCCCCAGGGAAAGAGCCCTTCTGTGTGTGCCTGCAGCCCTCCACTAATGACCTGCTTTTTTTGGGTGTTGGGAGTTTGAACCCAGGAGAGCATTGCCTTGACCATCAGTCAGCAGAGAGGCCCATGAGATGGTAGGTCAGGACTGGTCCTGTATTGGAGCAGTTCCAAGTCATCCCTTTCTAAATCCAGTGACAACCCCTAGATGTCACCTGTCTTCTCAAGGATTGAGATACTCCCGGGGCTCCAGCTCTTGAGTGACCTTGTCTGGCTTCCACTAGCCAACGTTTCCCTGTTTGCTTACCCACTAGGCAGAGTTAGGAGATGGCTCCCAGTTTAAGTGTACGTGTTGTGCCTTGGGCTTGGTATGCCATAGGTGAGGTTTGCCTCCACTACTTCTCACCTCTGTCCCACACAGGGTTTGGATCAGCACCTCAGGGGTGTGGCCTTGATCTGACCTCTCTCTCCTACCACCCTTGTTATAGAATGACCAACTTCTCTGGTCTTTCTTGAGATGACACCTACTTTATTTGAATCTGGAGCTTACCAACCTTGGTAGATAGCATAAAACATAGGGATGCATTCTTGTCTCTTCACCTTAGGAAATTTGTGGCCCCATGTCTGTCATACCCTTTATACAGGGAAGGTTTGGGTGGTTGGCCCCTAGTCCCTTGGGATGAGTTGGTGACCAGGCTCATCTTGGGGAATGGTGAATCTAGAGGTTTATTCAAGAGCCACCATAGACCCCAACATCCTTCTGTCCCTGCATCCTAGGCTCTTATGTCTCATCTCCTTATTTTTTTTTTTTTTCTTTACCAGCTTCCCTCCTAACTTTTGTGAGTTCTTTGCCCCATTTTCTGGAATATCTCCCTCCCCTCCAAGTCCTGACCTTGAGACTTTTCAGAGTCTCTTATTTCAGTCTTCTCTGCTTCTCCCATCTGTCATCCCTTCTTGGAACCAAGGACTTGGCCTCAGGCCATTCCTGAAGCTGCCTAGGGAACTCATGATCTGACCTTATCATCTGGCTGGACCTCATCTCAATGATGTTCATGTCAAAACTCTATCTTCTCCTGCCTCTGAATTCTCTTACCACTTGTGATTCTACCTGTTATCAGCCCCAGTATGTTAAAATCCCCCTGATTCCTGGTCTCCCCTACCTCTGTACATCCAAGTAGCCACTGTGTCAGTTGATGTCCTAATCCCTTCCTTCCACTGTTTCACATCCTTTCCAGGCTTCTCAGCTCACCAGATCACCTCATGTGTGCCTAGCTCTTGAAGTGGAAGGAAATGCCCACTGGGGGCCTAGCCCTCGGGGATCTGATGTGTCTTCTGCCCTTAACTTTGTCCATTTGTCTGGTCACCAAGTGAGGGTGAGAGCTGGGCCTGCCTGAGTGCAGTGGGGGCTACTCATTGGTGACCTGAGTATCACCTCTCCAGGACGTGGACATGGAGAACAAAATGAGGGTTGCTGGAGGGCTGGTGGGTAGGGGGATGGGCTCGATGGGTGATGGGCACTAAGGAGGGCACTTGTTGGGATGAGCACTGGGTGTTGTATGTAAGTGATAAATCATTGGGTTCTATTGTGGAAACCTATACTACACTGTCTGTTAACTAACTTGAATTAAAAAAAAGCAACCTCCCGGCAGGAGGGCCCTCCTGCCTCTGACCTCAGGACAATGGAGGCACACCTACCCTGGGGAAAACTATTTGTTTTTATTCATCTCTCATAATGGAGATTCACCTAAGGGCAGAGAATTCTAAAGAGCTAATAACTTGAAACTCACTTCTTTTGGGGCTGGAGGAGCACAAAAGTTTGTTTTACATTAAGGAATTTGTCTTAATTTTTTCCCCTGAGAATAAAAATTAAGTATATTTACATGTCTGAACTCATGGCAAATGATTTTGATTCCTGGACCAGAGGTGGGAGATTTCCAAGGATGCTCTTGTGATAGGGTTCCCTTCCTAAGGAAAGAAAAAGAAAAAGAAAAAAAAAGAATATCTCAAGGCAACTGTGTTATTCGTGAATGTGACTGTTATGCCGAGAGACACAGAGACCAACCGAGACCACTGAATCCAAATTGAGGGAGTCTTTATTACCAGCCAGGACCGCACAGAGTTAACACAGAACTCTAAGTGTGCGGCCCCGAGTCCAAGGACTTAGGGCTTTTTATAATGAGCAAGATGGCAAGCGGGGAGTACAGAAGCTGAATTGAGTGATTATTGTAAAAAGGCTACAAAGTGATAAAGAGAGGAGGCCTTATCCTGGTATGTAGGAAAACATATGCTATTTTTTTTTAAAGAAATGTTTTTAATGTTTATTTATCACTGAGTGACAGACACAGAGCATGAGCGGGGGAGGGGTAGAGAGAGGGGGAGACACAGAATCCAAAGCAGGCTCCAGGCTCTGAGCTGTCAGCACAGAGCCTGATGCGGGACTTGAACTCACAAACCGTGAGATCATGACCTGAACCGAAGTCAGACGCTCAACCGACTGAGCCACCCAGGTGTGCCAAACATGCTATTTTGAATGCAGGGTTTACGGTTGTGGGGAGTTTTAAGGGAATAGTCATTATCTCAAGAACAAAGTATACAAACTGTGTCATAAACAACCAGGGGACATTAACCCTAACCTACTTATTTGTTTTTTTCCTTGCACCTGAAAGTTGTCACATAGCCCCCTCCGAGTGCAGGCCCAGAAGGTATATGCTGGGTCAAGATGGAAGGACTGAGGCTAAATTCATGTGCAACATTCCCCACTGGTTTTAGGTATATGAGTCAAATCATGGACTCATCATTTTGGTTGAGTCTGTTGTAGGAAGACCTTAAGACCTTTTCCTGCTGAGGTTAGGATTCCCTGCTCTTTATATAGGGACCCGCGCACATGCGCTGTGGCGACGGCATACCGGCTGTCCGTATAGATGTAGACAGTTTTTCCTTTTGCCAGCCTTAGTGCCTGAGTTAGGGCAACAAATTCAGGCTTTTTGTGCTGAGCTCCAATGCCCTAGTGCCTGGTCCTAGACTACTGTTCCCTGATGAGCAACAACTGCTGCCCCTGCTCTTACAAATGGGTCCCAGATTAGAGGCAATCAATACCAACAGAACATCCTATCCATAAGGGATGGAAAGTGCAAACAGGAACCTCTCGCTGTTTTGCCAGGTTTCTGGGGTAACCTTTGCCAATTCGATGGCAAAGAGTAAGGACAGTCTATCTTATCGGAATGGCAATTCCTCAAACTTCTGCTGTGCTTAGACCAGCCAGCTTCTGGGGTGTGGCTGGAGCAGGGCTGGAGATCTCAGGGGCCAGTGTCTTTTTGCGGGTCAGTTTCAGTGGGTTGACTGGATCTGGATCACTTCACCAGGTTGAGGGTTCTTCTGAGTTGGCCTACTTAACTCTGGAGTGATGGACCCATGTGGGGTGATACCTGAAACTTTAAGGGCTGAATCCTTTGCTTGCTTGTATTATCTGTGAAACCCACTTCCAAGTCTTTGAAAGGGAAGAGCCTCCCATCCTTTGAATGAACCAGATCTCCTGGGTTTCTATGGGGTGGGTTTCTAGTAAATGTCAGATCAGGGTTAGGGAAGGGTATGGTTTGCATATTTAGAGATCCATCCTGTTTTCCTGTTGTTTAAGTAATCCTATGCCTATGGGGTCTTATTATCATCCCCACAGAGTAAAAAGCACAGCAGTTTGTGTGTGCATGAAATACTGTGACAATTTTTCTGAAGTTGTGACAATTTTATCTCAAGTTGTCTAACTGAGGCAAACAACAAAATTTAAAGACAATCAGAACTAGAATTTAACATCTATAACGGTGTGCTGTTGAAACATAGATTTTCTCTCTAAAAACTCCCATTTTCAGAGATAGCCAATCCGAGACCAATGCATTTGTAGAACAAGTCCAGTCTTAACAAGCCTGGCCTAATTCTTTACATAAGCTCAGCAAGAATAGTGATTGTTCTTGAGGATCTTTCAAAGTTTACTTTGCTGGGACCTTTTATAAGGAATCTCTAGGTTGAGCTAGGCCAGAAGCCAAGACAAGTACTTCCCATCAGACAAGCCTGCAATACCTATAGAATTGGGTGAATTCCTCTTCATGAGGTCTCCAAGATATCCTTAGGTTCCTTCACCTGACAGGAAGTGGCCTTCTTTACTCACCTGGGGAGACTGCTGGGAACTCTGTAAGCAAGGTATCTGGCCAACATTTCCAAGGGCCTTTATGGCTCCGTGTTTCATAAAGTCAACCTTAGTTTTCTAAAGCTGTCTGGGCATATTTGAGTCTATGCATGTCACTCTCAAATAAGACATTCCAGTCAAAGCCTTGGTAAAATAACCAGTATTTCCAGTGGTGACCTGTTACGAGAAGAACAAATTCTTCTTATCTCACTTATGCAAATAATTGTAATTGCCATGAAAGAAAGAATACTCACTGGGAGTTTTTGAATTTCAGAGGGTTTAGGTAGAGAGAAAAGATAAGTGCTTTAGTTTACAAATGACCACTTTATGACATTTCTGTATATCATAGATAAGTTAAGAGAAAGTTTCCTTAATCTGGGTAAGCAAACATTAGAGAACCAGCAATATTTCCAACAAGAGTCACAAACTATAATCTTCCTTAGGTCATTTAGTCCCATGTTCCTAATTCTTGTTCAGTTTGAATACACTGTTTTAGCTCTGGAAATTCTTACCCATTTTAGTATTAATCTTAAAGATGTCAAATACCTGTATTTGTCCCAAAAGTCCTTTTTATAAATCTCTTTGAAGAAGAAACACATTTTGTGAGAGAATAAGAACAATTATAAATGACAAAATCTCAGAAATAAACATTGTCAAAGGTCTGATGAGAGTTCATTATGATGCAGTTGACAAAGAAATTCAGTTATTTCTGTGACACATAACACTTCAAGTAATCAGATTATTAAGTGATGACCTTATACCAAAACATTACAACTTTAGGAACTGCATATATATTTGAGCAGTTACAGCATTTACCCGCACAATGCAACCTATGGTTACCCTTGTAACAACAGTGATTTTTCAAGTAACTTAGAATCCCAAATAAAAGGGCCTGATTGGTCAAAAGACTTCTTTTACCACTCAAATCCTGGGAAATTCGTTAAAACCTTAGTAAGTTATAAAGCACATCCTAAATAGGATTGCAGATCATGACAAATCTTAAAACTTTATTTATTCAACCAAAGTGGCAACAAAAGATCCTAAAGGCTAATGTATAGCATTATAGGGATGTTAGCAAAACCTAGCTCCTTTAACATTGAGAAGTTTTAACTAAGCAAAGACCTGATAAAGATGAAACCTAAAGCTTTGGTTTTGTTGGCAGACAAAAGAGAAAACCTTTGTTTACATTGTCTTATCAAGAGCAGACCAACAATTCAAGAAAACTTTGTCTTGTGAACAGAGAGAAAAGCAACAGAGTTTCAAACTTATACCAGTGTACTTTTAAAATTCCATTCATCTCAACCTTAGTCCATCCTGAGCACACCTAAAATTCCTTTCCAAAGAACCTTCTACAACTTGTCTTTGCTTTAAACTTTGTCCCAAAGACATTTCTCTCCAAACAACCAGTCTCATTTAGGACAAAATTACTTTCTTTTACCCTCAACAAAATGTATTTCCATTCCTTACATCTTCTTATGTATCTCTCATTTTCCTATGTATAGGGTTGCTTTCCTTTTTTTCCATCAGTCGTAAGTACATTTAGCAGAATTTTAACTCTAGGAAAGCTTAGTCTCCAACTGAGGACTTAGTAACCAACTGAGAGGTGTTTACACCAGAATTTTTTTTACGTTCATGAACCAGTTAAGCACAAAGCATGTTTTCCAATGGGTCCAAGTAGCCTTAGTTTCTCTGCAATAGGAAGTCAAAAACCCAAAGCTATGTTCAGTAATCATGCATTCTACTTGGAAAAGACCTAGATGTCCATGGGGATGCACTTTGCTCCTTGACCTCGAGGGTGGGAGGAGGATCCAATGTGCCCGAGGGACTGAGGGTGGTATAGGAACCAGTTATGTAGACCACACCCAAGCGAGTGCAGAAACAGGAGGGGAAGGGGAAGGCAGAAGAGGCAAGGTGACAGCAGGAGGCAGAGAAGGAAAACCCTATTCAAAATCTTAGCTCAGACAGAGGAACAGAAGCCATGTTTTCTCCAACAAAGTGGAAATGTGGAATCCACATTAGGCCAAAGAAGACTGGGAATTTCCCCCCAGACAAATGGAGTTTCAGCAACTGCTTGGAAATCTTCCGTAGTCTCTCCCAAACCCCTTCTTTGCACAGTCCCAACCCCATAATGTTCCTGTGAAGCGGTGTCACAAAGACAAAGGGGTAGGGGTACCCCTTCTAATGAGGAGACCAGTCAAATGCCGGTCTGGCCGTGCCCCGAAGGAACTTAGGTGACCCTTAGCCGTAGCAGTCTCAGCTTTGTGACTTACGATCATAAACTATTCCGTTGCTGCCAGAGACTGTATGCTGTTCACCACGGAATTGCAGGCGGCCCCACTCAGTCTCCATAGGATTTGGGGGGCCTTAAGCGTGACCACCCGTGGAGCCAAAGAATCAAACCCAGCAGGCAAGCCAAACTAAGTCACACATTCACACTCACATACACACCAGAGGTTATTACATTCCCTCCCACAGAATTCCTACAGATGAGACCACTGAGGTCTCTGGGGAGTGATTAGGTCTCCCTTCCACCGCTATGGGTGGGCTGATAGGGCTCCATATCAGAATTCCTACAGAGGAAACAAAAAATAATGACAACGACAACAGGACAAAACAAGTACGGAAGTGGCCACAAAACAGGTTTACAGGTTTACTGAAGGGCCATCTGATGTCTTGGTGTGGTCCTGGGGCAGGAAGTAGTGCCCGGTCCAGCCTTCCACTTAGTCCCCCTGACAGAAGCGCATGCGCATTCAGAATTCAAACGATAAACTAACAGGCGACTCCCGCAGATTAACTGGGGCCGTTTTTTGGGGGCAGCAGGAAAGACAAGAATGTTTCTCCGGGTCCCAGGACGTCTTCAGGAGCCAGGGAGGGTGCAGGCGTCTCTTGTTTCACCCCAAAAAGAGACAGGAATTTGGATGTCTGGGGTCTCCAAAATCTTGCTGGGGCCTCCAGAATGTTATGCTGAGAGCCACAGAGATGAACCAAGATCACTGAAGCCAAATTGAGGGAGTCTTTATTACCAGCCGGGACCGCACAGAGTTAACACAGAACTTTAAATGTGCGGCCCCGAGTCCAAGGACTTAGGGCTTTTTAAAATGAGCAAGCAGGCAAGCGGGCAGTACAGAAGCAGAATTGAGTGGTTATTGTAAAAAGGCTACAAAGTGACAGAGAGCGGGCCCTATCCTGGTATGTAGGAAAACATTTGTTATTTTGGACGCAAGGTTTCAGGTTGTAGGGGAGTTTCAAGGGAATAGCCATTATCTCAAGGACAAAGTATGCAAACTGTTAGCAGGGGACATTAACCCTTGTCTTCTTATTTGTTTTTTCCTTGCACCTGAAAATTGTCACACAGCCCTCCGAGTGCAGGCCCAGAAGGTATACACTGGGGCAAGATGGAAGGACTGAGCATGTGCAACATGACAACATCCCTCATGACCTTGTGCTGGCAGGAATAAAGTTGCTTCCTGGAAAGAAAAGTCTCGGTGTCATGACTCTCTGTGCAAGAATCTTGCTACACTTTCTGGGCTGAGCCCTCCTTTCTCACCTGGCCTGCTCAGACCACCCGGGTGAGCCACCTCTCAGCATCATCATCACCAGCGGGGTCTTTCCCATCCTTGGCAGCTTCATCCATCAGGGCTGGGGGAGAGCTAGAGACAGCCACCAGGACTGTCTGAGGTCACGAAGCTTCAGGTTGGACTTGAATTTCTTGCATCTAGGCTAATTGGTATGGTGATGCATCCACCTATAGAAATTATAAAGTGGCTCATCCAGGAGCCCTGTGTCTATTGCCAGTGGTGGAAGGGAGGAGAGCTCTTCCCAGTGGCTTTCAGCAGACTGCGGCTGGGGCTCAGAGGACCAGCCTCTCCCGCTGTCTCCTGAGCCCAATACTTCTTGGCCATCAGCTTCCCTTGCCCTATGGCAGCTATCACAGATCTCTCCTTTATGTATCGATGGTTCAAGAACTGCAATCTGGTCCGCAACCTCTCAGACAAGTATGTCTTCATCACAGGCTGTGACTCGGGCTTCGGAAACCTGCTGGCCAGGCAGCTGGTTGATCGGGGCATGCGGGTGCTGGCTGCTTGCTTCACTGAGCAAGGGGCCCAGAAGCTTCAGCAGGATACTTCTTACCGGCTGCAGACCACCCTATTGGATGTCACCAAGACCGAGAGTATAAAGGCAGCGGCCCAGTGGGTGAGGGACCAAGTGGGTGAGCAAGGTGGGGCAAATTGCATTCTTTGGCCTTCTCAATTTATTCTTCTGTCTTTCTCCTCCAGGCATCTGACAGTGATCAGGGACAGTGTTGTTCAGATGTGGTGGGAGAGGTGAGGTAGAGAAAGGGGCTGGGATTCTGGCTCCGTGGGATTGGAAACTGTTGCATAGTTTGGTCTCTTCACATGAAAGGGGTGATTTCCCAAGGAAGTTTTCTCTGCTAGAGACTCAGAGGGTTGGGGAGAGGTTGCCAGAGGATGTGGGAGAGGGAAGATGTGTTCTGTATGTCCACACCTCTTAAAGATGGAGTTGTCTCTCTGGGACTTAGGTAGTCCTAACCATCAGCTCCAATAGAAATGTGAGCACATTTCTTACTGGGATTGGGCTGGGGAGAGGGGACAGGGAACAGGAGGCTGGACTCCCTGAGTGGGGACGTTTGCTCTCCTTGACTGTGTCAAGCTAAAAGGCAGGGGAGAGAGAGATCTGTCCTCTTCCTCATATCATGGTGGATATTGGGTTGACCTCAAGGTAAGCGATGACATCAGAGTGACCACTCCTATTGGGAAAGGAGGCTGTGGGCTGGCTGGGCTGGACCAGGACTACATGCAGACCTGCCCAGGAAGCTTGCTGCATGCAAGGCATGGGTGCAGGAGAAACAGGGTGGCTCTGTTGTGGAACAGCAGCCTGGGGAAAGTCCTGGCTCCTAAGGGAACTAGTCTGAGGACTAGAGAGCCCCGGGACCGCCAAACAGTAACTCCCTGCTTTATTTTTCTCCTTAGCATTTACCATTATCTAATATACCATATATTTTACTTCTCTTTCTTATTTATTGTCTGTTTCCCTGCTAGAATAAAGGTTCCTGGGATGAGGCTGGGGGCAGGGCTTTTTGCCTCTTTTGTTAACTATATATATCCTTAGTACAGAATAGTGTGTGGCATCTAGTAAGGTGCTCAATAAATTTTTGTTGGATGAACTAATCAATGAATAATTCAGTGAGAGTCAGTCTTTTTTCTCAGTAAAAGACACTTTTCTCTTTTCTGCCTTGCCCTCATTCAGCTGTGAGTCACTGTGTTAATGAATCACTGGGCATATTAGTTTCCTGTTGCTGTTGTAACAAATTAACACAAAAATGTAGTGGCTTAAAACCATATAAATTTATTACCTTATAGTTCTGGAGGTCAGAAGTCCAGAATGGGTCTCACTGAGCTAAAATCAAGGTGTCACCAGAGCTGTGTTCCTTCAGAGGCTCTAGGAGAGGATCCATTTCATTGCCTCTCCCAGCTTCCAGAGGTTGCCAGCATTTCTTATCTCATGACCCTCTTCCTCTATCTTCAAGACCAGCAACATGGGACCAAGTCCTTTTCACACACCTATCCCTCTGGTTGTCTTTTGCCTCTTTCTTCCACTTAAAAAATCCCCGTGACTGTATTGGGTTTACTAGGCTAATCCAGGATAATCACCAGTTTTAAGATCAGTTGATGAGCAATTTTAATTTTATCTGCTATCTTCATTCCTTCTTCCCATGTAATCCCCCATATTAATAGGTTCTAGGGATTTGTATGGGGACATCTTTGGGGAACCATTTTCTGCCTACCCCATTGGACAACATTCTTGATCTAAGAAGCACTGGGAAAGTGGGGGGTGGGGAGCAGGGATTCTGACATGCTTTCTTGTGGCCCCTGAAAGTCCCTGTACATGACAGGTTGGTGCAGCCCTAAAGCTATTCACACTGCTCTAATGGTTCTCTAGTTGTGGGGGGGAAAATGAAGGTTGTCCTGGTTTGCCAGTAGGCAGAGCTATCTACCAGAATGATCACAGGTAGTGGAGAGTGTGTGTGCCTTTTCTTTGGACAGCACTTGGGTTTATAGTCTTTGGGTCTCAAGAGCCTCATTTCTTCCTCTGTAAGACAAGAGAGCTCCTCCAGCTGGGGAGGTTTGAGTCCTGCTGGCCAGCTGGTCTCCTGGGGTCTTGTTAATTGAAGGAAGGCAAGAAGATACAGTGGGGGTATGGCTTATGCGTGGACCCCAGGCATAGGAGGAGGGTGGACCAAGAGTGGTGTTTACATCCTGACCAGCCATTGGAAGAGAGTGCAGTTGTGCTGGGAGGAGTATCTTGGGGCTGCAGGAGTCAAGGTGGGCTGGGGGGAGGAGGGGAGGGGAAGGCAAGGCACCTGAGCAGTGGAGTTTGTGGAATCTTTGAATGAAAGAGCTGGAAGGTGTCCTTAGGAATCATTTAGAGACCTTTCCAATGTGTTTTTAGAATCAAACATCCTCCTCCAAGTGGAATTTCACTTGGAAGCTCTACATGTGAAACAAATGAAAGTTGATCCTCCCCTGCATCTCCTGAGCAGTTCGTGGGTTCAGCCTGGAAGGGTCTCAGGATTGCAAACCCCAGGCTGGAAGCAACTGTCCTGGCTCAGTTGATGAAGGACCTGAGGTCCAGAGAGAGGAAGTGACTTGTCTAAGGCTGGAGGTAGAAAAAGGACTGGAACTTAAGGATCTTCAAGTGTGGGTTCCTGCAGAGTTGAATGACAATACTTAGCCTTATTTCTTTCCATTTGTACTAACTCAACTCAAATTAAATATTTGGAAGAGAGCCCATATTACATTTTTTTCACAATTTTTAAATTGAAATGTGTTACATATTTATGAATATTATTTATTTCCTCTCTGGTTTGCGAGCTCCTTGAGGGACAAGATGTTTTTTGTTCATTTTATGTCTCTAGCACCTTCCTCTGTAACTGAGAGAGAATAGATATATGAGTAGATAAATGGATGAATGTGTGAATGGATGAACTCATTTTGATAATGTGTGAAATGGAGTTGGTTTCTTACACTTAGGTGAACAGAGAGGGGGAAGCGTGATAGGGGCAGGACTTCAACCATTAATTCATTGGTATGAAAATTACATCTCTCTTCCCAGGGCTAATAGCTTAGGTGCTATTAGCTAAAGCCTGGATTGTAGCTGGTATAGGGCCCCAGCTAGCACAGTGACAGACTGTGTGAATCAGAAAAAGTGCCCCTTTGGGGAAAACTAATTAGTAAAAGGCATATCTTCCTTTGTGCTATCATAACTCCCCCAACCCACCAGCCTGGCCATCTTGTGCCTTGTGCACCTGCTCAACCATTCTCAGAAGTCCTGGGCTGGTGGGTAGTGGACACTGATGATTTTCCAGAGATGCTAATGATTTCTGTGTGGTTCTCTCTCCCTCTATCACGCCCCTAGGCCTCTGGGCCTTGGTGAACAATGCAGGTATAGGCCTGCCCAGTGGGCCCAATGAATGGCTGACGAAGGAGGACTTTGTGAAGGTGATCAATGTGAACCTGGTGGGACTGATCGAAGTGACCCTCCACATGCTGCCCATGGTCAAAAAAGCCCGGGGCAGGATTGTCAACATGTCCAGCTCTGGTGGTCGTGTGGCTGTCATTGGTGGTGGTTACTGTGTCTCCAAGTTTGGCGTCGAGGCCTTTTCTGACAGCATCAGGTGACTGGGCCCTTGTGCCAAACAACTCTGGGTGGGAGTCCTGGGGATTTCACCTCAGGCAGAGAGAGCTACAGAGGATAGCATGTGGGCAAGGGAGTTCTGGAGGGAAGGAGCTAACATAGTAGCAGGAGGAGGGCTAGTCCCTCAAGAGGCCTTCCCCAAAGACCAGGAGAAGGGATGAGGAGAAGAGGAGGGTGGTGATAGGAGGCTGTCTTCCTGCATCCCCGTGAGCTGTCTCAAAGTAAGTAAAACTATGTTTGGGCCTATGGGAGTAGAAAGGAGAGTCTTTCAAGCAGACAGAAAGGCCCGGAGGCAGATATGCCCATGGGAGACTCTCAGAAGAGGATTTAGGCCTTACCCACACCCCCTCACTCCCTTTGCCATGTTGGGTATTGGGTATGAGGCTGAGTGGAAGAACCTGGTAGGAGGCAGGGCTTTGGTCTACATTCCCTGTTGACCTCCTGCTGGGTTTGTCTACTGCAAACTGCTTGGACGAAGGCTGAGGGCCTTATTTGTATGAAGACAATGCCTGGCCTGGCAGAGGGGTGGGGGAGAGTATCTCCATGTTTCTTGGGGGATCAGCCCTTGTAGAGCAGTCAGAGTGACTGTGCCTGATGACCCTTTGTTATCGCAGTGCCCCAGACTGAGTCCACCTCTTCTTTCCCAGGCGTGAGCTCCACTACTTTGGGGTGAAAGTCAGCATCATTGAACCAGGGAACTATCGAACATCCATCCTGGGCAAGGAGGACATGGCATCTCGCATGCGAAAGTTGTGGGAGCGGCTGCCTCAGGAGACCCGGGACAGCTATGGGGAGGACTACTTCCGCATATGTGAGTTTTCTGGGAGGGAGACAAGACTCTGAGAGGAACAATGAGATCTTGGGGATCACTGACTTGTTTTCATTTCACAGATAATGGGATGGAGGCTCAGAGGGGTTAAGGACTCAAAGTCACACAACTAGTGGCAGGCTGGGACTTGAGAATAGAAGCCAAGGGTGCATCTGCTCAGAGCCTACTGCTCCTTTGCAGGGAGAAAGGTGTTGGGGAGATGCTTCCCAGGGATGCTCCCCACTCCTAGCACCTGCCTCCCAACCTAATATTAGGTTAATATTAATATTAATATTAATAATAGTAACCTAGTATTATTATGTAGGTGAACAGGTGAAAACGCACTGATATGAGTACAGAGAAGTTATGAAGAGCACAGCTGCTTCACTGCAGTAGTTTTCTCTCTAAGAAACAAAAAGGGGGTTCATTGGAGTTGGGGGTGAAGGGTACTTAAACTACACTAACCTGTCCTGATCAACTGCTCACCAGGGTCTTGCATAGAGGAGATGAATTCCCTGTCTTCCTAGACCATCCCCAAATTTGGACCAGCTATTCCTCCTCTTGTTTTCAAGTCTTAATCCCTCACTGGGACGCCTGACTCTCAGGCACCATTTCTGTCTGGAGTTCTTGGGGCTCTCACTGAAGTATGAATCCCAGTGACCTGCCCCCGTCCCAGAATCCTGGGGCAAAGGCATACATCAGGGCCGGTAAGTGTATCATGTGGCTTTTCTCCTATTTGTGCTGTGAGCTTTGGCAGACTTGGACAACTCAGATGCCTTGCACCCATCTTCATACCCGTGTGCACAATGCTAACAGAACAGCCCTTTACATTTGTTAGACTTACAATGTACCCATCTGTGCCTTAAATCATTTGAGCACCACAATGGGCTAATGACCAAGGCAAGTAATCTCCACACCCAATGTGGAGCTTGAATTTACAACCCCAAGATCAAAAGTCTCATGCTCCAGCAACTGAGCCAGCCAGGCACCCCAGTGTTACTATTTTTTAATAACATTTTTTTTTTCTTGCATGACTTTGTAGAAATTTTGGGAACTCTAAAACCTGCATAGGAGAACAAAAAACAAATAAACAAACAAAAGAGCCTCCAGTAACTAGGAATCCCACAAGCCAGAGAGTATTTTTACTTATTTTCTTCCAGTTTTTCTCATGCACTTATATATACTTGTTTTCTGTCCTCCCTCACTGTCTACCCTGCTATTATTCATCTTTGTTATTCTCTAGAGCAGATATTATTATTCCCATTTTATTGATGGTGGAAGTTTAAGCTCAAAGTCACACAACCAATAAGTGGCAGAACTGAGCACAGTTCTTCTGATTGCTAGTAGGAATTCAACACACAGTTGTTGAATTCAGGAAGAGAAATAGGATTATTTACAAGGTGTTCATGTAAGGAACAACCTGGAGGGTGTGGTAGATCTGCCTAAAATTTGGCTCAGGGATCTGATGGAAAGGGAGTTTGGATAGAATTCAGAAGAAACCATCTTTTGTGAAGAGTAACAGAGCCTTTGATTTTTCCCCTCTCTTGTACCCTCAGATACTGAGAAGTTAAAAAACATGATGCAATTGGCAGAGCCAAGGATCAGAGATGTCACCAACAGCATGGAGCATGCCGTTGTTTCACGGAGCCCCCGTATCCGCTACAACCCTGGCCTGGATGCCAAACTCCTCTACATCCCATTGGCTAAGTTGCCCACTCCTGTGACAGATTTCATCCTGAGCCGGTACCTTCCCAGGCCAGCAGACAGTGTCTGAGCTGGGGAAGTCCAGGGGTGGTTAATGGAATGTGGAGGCAGGGGGATGGGAAAAAGAACTGAAGGGTCACAAGAGGTGGTTATCAGGCAATCAGGGATTCACTTTGCTTGGCTGACACCCACTGTCGGAGAATTTCTGAATAACTTCTAGCAGAAGACAAGTGCCTCTTCCCACTCACTAGGGCCTCACAGAAAGCTGCAGGTGCAAAGACCTGAAGCATGGCCCCAAGAACATCTGCTACCCATTAAGGATATGGCTTTTTTTTAGACCTGGAAATGTCAAGGGGAGGAAAATGAGCTCCTGCTGAATCATGAGACTCTCTCAGTTATCACCACCACTGCGAAATATTGCAGGATAATCTAGCCCACGGAAGCATCTCAACCACTTTCCTATTGAATCTCTTGATATGCATTAACCCCATTCCCACAACCCATTATTTGAAGTATGTAGTAGGACAGACAGGGAGTGCAAGATTATATCAGGTAAAAGTTTATATTTTCTCTATATATAAATCTCTCTGTTCATCAGTGATTGTGACTCACATAAAATAACATTCATTTATTTAATCATCATTGGTTAATTTTTCAAATATTTACTGGATGCCTATAAGATACCAGGCACTATGTAGGTGCTGGAAGGATGTAGGGTTGATTAAATCATGGTCTTGGTTTTTTTATTGTTTATTTTGGCTTTGTGTTTTAGCACAATATCTAGTAGCAGAGATAGGACAACCAGTGATAGAAGAAACAGAAATCAGAAAGTTATTATTATTTTTTTTAGACAGAGTGGGTGAGCATGAACAGGGGAAGGGCAGAGGGAGAGAAAGAAAATCCCAAGCAGGCTCCATGCTCAGCACAGAGCCCAATGCAGGGCTCGATGCCACTACCCTGGGATCATGATCTGAGCCAAAATCAAGAGTTGGATGCTCAACTCACTGAACCACCCAGGAGCCCCCAGAAAATCAAATTTTTAGAACTATGAAGAAACTGAGAGATCATCCAATTCAGTAGCTCCCAAACTGTGCATTGTAATCACCTGGTTAATTAAAAATACAGAATCCTGGACTCAATGTTAGAAAGTCTGATTCAGTAGCTTGGGCTGGGGCCCAGAAATCTGTGTTTGTAACAGGTGATGATTCCAATGTCTTTGGGCACTTGGGAACCACAGACAGCCCCATAGCAGTATTGAACACTCAGAAGAGTAAGTGATCTGCCCAAGGCCTCCCAGCACGGTGGCCAAGACAAAATTCAGGTATTTCGATTCCCAAAGTAGAGTTATAGTTTTCGAGAATACATTTTGACATTAGTTACATTGTCAAATAAGCCACGAAACTAAATTTTTTAAAAAACCAACAACCTTGAACTTCTAAGCATTGTGCAGTTCTATTGAAAAGATTTCTTTGATATTGAGGTATGGTCATGTAATAAAGGTCAAATGTGAATTTTTAAAATTAAAATGTCTTTAATTTGTGTTTCTTCAACATCTGACTGAACTTGAAAATAACAAAATGAAAACTTAATTATCTCTGCAAAGACCCCTTTTCCAGGTGCCCCTTCCTGAAGTTTTAAATTGGCTTTACTTTTCTTATTCACTTATTCAGTCTCTTCATCAAATTATCTCCACATGTTTTTGTTTTGATTTTTTCTTTTTTTTAATGTTTATTTATTTGCTTTTGAGAGAGAGAAAGCACAAGCAGGAGAGGGACAGAGAGAGAGGGAAGACAGAGAATCCCAAGCAGGTTCCATGCTGTGGGTGCAGAGCCTGATGCAGGGCTTGAACCCACGAACAGGGAGATCATGACCTGAGCCAAAATCAAGAGTTGGATGCTTAACCAGCCGAGCCACCAGGTGCCCCATGTTTTTTTTTTTTTTATTTTTTTTAATGTTTTATTTATTTCTAGGAGAGAGAGAGAGAGAGAGACAGCGTGAGCAGGGGAGGGTCAGAGAGAGAGGGAGTCACAGACTGAAACAGGCGCCAGGCTCCGAGCTGGCAGTCAGCACAGAGCCCGACGCGGGGCTCGAACCCACAAACCGCGAGATCATGACTTAAGCGAAAGTCTGATGCTTAACCGACTAAGCCACCCAGGTACCCCAGGTGCCCCATGTTTTGATTTGATTTTAAGCAGGGAAGTAATGTGATCCAATTTAAATTTTGAAAAGGGGCTCTGTGGAGACTTAAATGAGGGGGCAATGGTGGAAGAAATGGTACCATTGCATAATCCAAGCAAGAAATAATGGTACCGTAGGTTAAAGTGGATGATGAGAAGATGATGAGAATGGATAAAATCAGTATATAATTTGGAGGCAGAATTAGTGAAGGATTTTAATCAGTTACTCTGTCAGAAAGAATTCATTGTGCTCCTACTATATTCCAGGTGTAGTTCTAGATGCTGGAGTTAGAGTGGTGGACAAGACCAAGTCCTTGCCTCCAAGAAGTTTATATTCTGATAGGGTGGAAGAATTAGGCAATAGACAAATAAAAATATAATTTTTAAAATGAGTGAGATCATTTTATATGGTAATAAATGCCATTAAGAAAAGAAAATGTAGTGGGGCACCTGGGTGACTCAGTTAGTTAAGCATCCAACTCTGGATTTCAGCTCAGGTCATGATCTCGAAGTTCATGAGTTCAAGTCCTGCATTGGGCTCCACATTGGCAGTGTGGAGCCTGCTTGGGATTTTCTCTCTTTCTCTCTCTCTGCCCATCCCCAGCTCATTCTCTCTCTCAAAGTAAATAAATAAAATAAATTTTAAAAAAAAGGAGAGAGTCACCTGGGTGGCTCAGTCTATTGAGCGTCCAACTTCAGCTCAGGGGATGATCTCAGGGCTTGTGAGTTTGAGCCTCACATTGGGCTCTCTGCTGTCAGTGTGGAGCCTGCTTCAGATCCTCTGTCTCCCTCTCTGCTTCTTCCCTATTATCACACACACACACTCTCTCTCTCAAAAACAAATAAACATTAAAAAAAAAAAAGAAGAGAAAATATAGTAATGTAATAGATGACCAGGGAGGCTGCTTACCATTTTTTAAAAACCAATGCTTTGAAACAAAATTTATATTAAACAAAATGCATCCCTTTAACTATAAAGTTTGATGGGTTTTGACTTAGGAATATACCTGTACAACCACCACCAGTCATGTTATAGGACGTTTCTCTCATCCCAAAAATCTCCCTGGTGCCTCTTTGTGGTTAACCCACCCTCCTTTCTGACCTGGCTCCAGACAACAACTGGTGTGCTTTGTGTCCTTACAGATTTGTTTTGAGGCTACTTATTTTTAAAGAAAATCACTTTTGCTGCCATTGGGGAATTAGTTGGAATGAACCTGGCTGGAGGGATCCAATAGGAGGAAGACTAGAGATGATGAGAGACACGTACCAATAAAATAATAGAAATAGGAATAATAAGCCTTTCTTGGACATGACTCAGTCCCAAGCACTGAGTGTTTTAAGTGCCTAGTGTTTTAATTTTCATTCAATCTCTATAACAAGCCCTGTGAGGTTACCTCTATTGTATAGAGGAGGAAGCTTCAGAAAAGTTAAGTAATTTGCACAAGACTACATAGCTAGTGAGTGGCGGCCTGGATCCAGGCACCCACGGTTCCCCACATACTGCAATGGCGCATGCTTACACAGAGCTTCCTATATGCTAGGCACTGTTCTAAACACTTTAACCTGCGCAAGAACCTTCATGGGTTCCAGTTTTAATGAGAGGAAACTAGAGGCCCGAAGAGAATAATTACATATTCTATAAGCAACTGGCAGAGCAGGTCATTTGAGTTCTAAAATCCTATTCTTTGAATGTGTCATTGCCCACTTCATCCAAGGGAACATCTCTGTACACAATTTGCAGCAGGTTTTTCTAGCCTGCAGCTCTCATGTGGCTTGCTTCTTTTTCCATGAACCTTCTGAAACCTCTCCTAACCAGCCTTGCTTGGGCTTTTCCCTGTGAAGGCAGAGGAACCTCTGTCCTCCATGGCCTCCTCTTCTATAGGAAGTGCCTGAGGCTCAGCAAGCTCTCTGATCTTCATTGAACCTCAACCCAAAAACCAGGGGATGTGGGAGGAGAGAGCACAATCCAGAATATTATGGGGCTGGCTGGTCCCTGAACTATTGCCTGGCCAGACCATTTGAGACATTCTTGAACAACAAAAGTATAAATATTGCATCTGGATGAGAACAAATGGACACAGAGAATTTTAATGCTAAACTTGGAACAACAAACAGAACGTTGCTTTGGGACTTTCTGGCAGAGGAACAGGGGTGATAAGGACTTTTTAAATTGTGTGCGTGCCTTTTAATAGTCAGGGGCAAGTTTCAACCAGGACACGAAATGAACTGCCAGTAAGCAATTTCAAGGGCAGAATTGAGACTCCACTTAGAAGTGTTGTGTAATCCACTGTCATGTGTAATTTCAAGAGGGCTTCGAAATAAGGAGGGGGATGCCAACTCTTCTAAGTTTGCCAGGAAGGGAGAGGTCTGGATTTCTCCTTCTAGTGAAGAATGAGGAGTACCCTCCCCACATTTGGCTCCACCACCTTCTGCGCCCACACCAAGAGACAGGTGATGGGTTAACCACCTACAAAACAACCATGACTTAATTGTGATGTGTGGCTCGGGCTTTGGGAATCTGCTGGCCAGGCAACAGGACCTGTGAGGCTTGAGGGTGGTGGCTGCGTGTCAGAAGAAGAAGATCCAGCAGCTGAGAGGCCACACATCAGAGAGGCTGGAGTCAGTCGTCCTGGATGTCACTAAGACAAGAGAGATCTTCATTGTCCCTGTATCATTCATTTGTTTTTAGAAAAGTTGTCAACGTGAACCCCAGGGAGAATAAGAGTACTATTTCCATAAGACAGATCTGCAGGACAGGTTAGAATCAACCTCACCTTTCAGTCCCTATTCTGGAGCCTGAAACCTCTCCTAGGCAACATTTCTAGAAGGGGAAAGCCATATCCTGGAATGTCTTCTACACCCAAGCAATTCCCACTAGTTATTTGAGGGTCCC